AAGGATACCCATGGTCTTTAAGTTGTTAGTAAATCCTCTCCAAGAGATAGGATCCTTTTGTGGCATTGTCGATTAGGTCATCCTTCATTTACTTAGAACACTTGTTCCCAAAACCATTTAGAAATATTCCAAGTTCTAGTATGCGGTGTGAACAATGTATTTTTGCTAAAAATCATCGTGTACCTTTCAAAGTCAGTTTTAATACAAGTTTTGTTCTTTTTACTGGTATTCATACTAATTTTTGGGGACCTTTCTCTACTCAATCTACTACAGGTCATAAATATTGTCTTTTTCATTGATGATTGTACCAGAGTTTGTTGGATATATTTGTTAAAATCTAAGGGTGAAGTCGTTCATGTTATTCCAAAATTCTTTAAAATGATTGAGACAAAATTTCATACACGGGTTAAAGTTATTCATTCAGACAATGGTCGTTTGTTTGTAAACCAAACCCTTGGAAACTTCTTCTCAACTCACGGCATTCTCCATCAGACCACTTGTGCTTACACACCTCAACAAAACGGCATCGCTGAGCGAAAAAATCGACACATTCTTGAAGTAGCTCGGGTTTTATGTTTCACTATGCATGTTCCAAAACGTTTTTGGGCTGAGGCGGTGACAACTGCTGTCTTTCTCATAAATCGCATGTCCACTAGCATTATTGACTTTCAAACTCCCTTAAAAATGTTGTCCCAGTTTCACTCTATTCCCTCTGTTATAAATCTCTGCCCCAAAATTTTTGGTTGTATGTGTTATGTCTATGTGCATTCTCATCTAAGAGATAAATTTGATCATCGTGCCCTGAAATGTGTCTTCCTCGGCTACTCAAGCTCCCAGAAGGGCTACAAATGCTTCCATTCCCCTACGGGAAAATACTATGTTTCTATGGATGTGGAATTTCGCGAATCATAATCCTTTTTTCTGATGACGTGTCGTTAGTTCCTCTTCAGGGGGAGGTTATTAGTAAGGAAGAGGAACAAGTGTGGTTAAATGAAAAGAAAGTGTAGATTTCCGGAAAGCAGGGGGAATCCCAAGTTGAATCCCAAATTGAATATCGAGTTGAGAATGATAGATCACCTCACTTGTTCCAAAAGTGTTATACTAGGAGAAATTCAAACAATGCTTACACTCCTATATTATCCTCTTCAAACCCTGATAACCCTCCGGTTGATACAACAGTGCCATCTGGTTCTTCGGAGATTGAAAATGAGGTACCTACCTCGCTTCCCTCTTCTACTCCTATTTCTGTTTCTGATTCTAATCCTGCAACTTTAGATATTATTGATACTCAGGATATGAGATATCCCCCTGAAGTCCATAATAAGCCCGATAGGTTTGATTTTTCGAAATCTTCTTCCAATGCTATCTTTCCCATCTCTGACTATATCTCTTATCACCATTTATCTCAGACTAATTTGACGTTTGCCCTCCAACTATCTTCTGTGTCTATCTCTAATCATTTTCAGGAAGCTCTTGATCCACCTAAGTGGAAATCTGCTATGGTAGAAGAGATGACTGCTCTCCAAAAGAACTATACTTGGGAGATGGTCACCAGGGAAAAAGACCGTGGGATGTAAGTGGGTGTGCTCATTAAAATACAGGTCAGATGGAACTGTGGATAGGTATAAAGCTAGATTGGTTGCCAAAGGGTATACACAGACTTATGGGATTGACTACCAAGAAACTTTTGCTCCAGTAGCTATGATGAATACCATCAGAGTCATCCTATCTCTAGCGGTCAATCTTGATTGGCCATTGAGGCAATTTGATGTTAAAAATGCATTCCTTCACGGTGATCTAACAGAGAGTGTATATGGACCCTCCTCCCAGTTTCCTTCCTCCAGGGGGTAATGTGTGTAAGTTGAAGAAAGCTCTTTATGGGCTGAAACAATCACCAAGGGCGTGATTTGGAAGATTGAATAATTCAATGAAAAAGTATGGCTTTAAACATGCCTTGCTTGATTATACTTTATTTTATAAGAGAGATGATCATAATATTACTATGCTTATTGTGTATGTGTATGTAGATGATATGATTGTTACTGACAGCGATCCCAGTGAGATTGAGAAACTCCGAAGCCATTTGACAAAGGAATTCGAAATGAAGGACTTGGGTACCTTGAAGTATTTCTTAGGGATTGAGGTATCACGGTTCCGGCAAGGACTTATCCTAGCTCAACACAAGTACATCCTTGACTTCTAGCAGAAATTGGTATGTCGGCTTGTGTCCTTGTTGACACACCTATTGAGGTAAACCATGGCCTATCTATTTGCCCTGATCAGATTCTCACAAACAAAGAAAGATACCAGAGATTGGTAGGGAAGTTAATTTATCTAACCCACACGAGACCAAATTTGTCATATGCAGTTAACGTTGTGAGTCAATTCATGCATAACCCAGTGAACAACATATGAGTGCAGTTAATCGGATATTGGCATATCTGAAGTCCTCTCCAGGCAAGGGCATTCTGTCCTAAAAAGGGGGCATTTAAATATTGTGGGTTACACAAATTCTGATTTTGCTGGATCAAGACTGGACATAAAATCCACATCAGGATATGTATCGTTTGTTGGAAACAATCTTGTGACTTGGAGGAGTAAGAAACAGAATGTGGTCTCACTATCCCGTGTTGAGGCGGAATACCGAGCATTACATCATGCAACTACCGAGCTTACATGGCCAAAACTTCTCCTTAGTGAGCTTGACTTTGGTCCGAACAAGCCTTTGTTACTTTTCTGTGACAACATTGCTGCCATTAAAATTGCAAACAACCCTATGCAACATGATAGAACAAAGCATGTTGAACTTGATAGGAACTATATCAAAGATAATCTGGACTCCAAAAATATAGAAGTTCCATACATCAAGAGGGCGGAATAACTGGCTAATATAATGATACATGGAGTTACTAGTGGTATACTATACAATGATATCCAAGTTGGGCATGCGTGATATCTATGCACCAACTTGAGGGGAAGAGTTGAAATATATAGTAATATATGTACCAACTTGTAGTCTTTGACTCTTTATTATTGTTAGGGACTAAAGTGCAATTTTTCCTTTTCATCCTGTATATATTTTTTGGTTTACATCTATCAACAAACATACCTTTTCTCCCAAATCCCGACTAATACAATTACAAATCTTACTCTAAATATCCCTCATCTTTCTTTCCCTTCTCTCTTTAATTGCTCTTTGTTAAATTGTTAAGTTGACTAATGTAACAATTTAACGAGGAGCAATTAAAGAGAGAGAATTTGACGATCAACATAAAATTTTAATGAGCAATTAGAGAGAGAGAGAGAGAGAGAGAGAGAGAGGAGGAGGAGGAGGAGGAAGATGAAGATAGAGAATTAAAGAAATATATGTAATTGTATTCAATAATCAAGATGTTTCCTATTACAAATAAAGAGCCTTTCTACATGGAGTCTAAACTAAGATCATTAAGAAAAATTAGGGTTTCTTATATAAGGAAACAAAATAAATTGTCTTACAAACCCAGTAATAGAAAATAAGGAAAATAATATAAAAATCCAAATTGATTTAAGGAGAAACTTTCCATACTGCATCATTATTATTACACGAGTTAAGAGGCAAATGTATATCACACAAGCATTTTACTCCAAACACATTGCACATATGATGCTCGGACTCGGGTATGAGTATGTATCTAAGTATCGGATCCATTATTTTCTAAAATATAGAATACAAGGATATGACTAAAAAAAGTCCAAATTTTGGACACGGTACACGGGTACGTCTTTCAAACTTATATATTTTTTTTATTAACCCAAGATATCATTTTGAATAGACCAAAATCAATCAGAAGGAAATGAGTATTGAATAAGGGGTGAAAACGAATAAAATGGAATTTTGGGATTTAGTTTTCAATTATGTAAAGTTAATAACTAAATATTATATAAAATAGAAAATGAAGGATTTGGTTACAATTTAAACTTAAAGCCTGTTTGGTAGGGATTTTTGGGGGAAAAATTGATTTTTGAATAGTGATATGATGGGAAATGTGTGGTTGAAAAAGAAGAAAAAATTATTGATGTGATGGAAAATATTATTTTATTGAAGAATGTGTGGTTGAAAATGAGAATTGATTTATTGTAGAAAATCAAAATCCATACCAAACAGGCTCTTAATAGAATACTAAGTTGCACTATATGGAAGCCATTTTCATTTTATACAAAGAAAACCCTAAACCATCTATATATAGGGGAAAAAAGGAAAAAAAGAAGAGAAGGCAAAGAGAGGATAGAAGAAAAAGAAGGGAAAACCTTATGCCGTCGCCGAAGAAGAAAAGGGGAAGAAAAAAAAGGAAGAAAGAGAAACGGCGAAGTGTCCGGTTGAAATTTGGAGGATTCGACACATTATCTCATACACATACCCATGTCATGTCGTGTCCGACACAGGTACTTCGTCTATTTCGAAGAGTTCGAGCATCAGAGCATTGCACAATAATAAAGTTTGTCCACCCCCTTCCATAAACAATGAGTGTGCATTTGATCCTCAAAATTCTCACTTCTCATAATCCAATTAGACTAAGTTATGACCATCATTGCACACTACAAAACTTTCCTCCTTCGCTAATTCCAAGGGCTCAAAATATTGTATATACACAAACTATATAATTTTTTGGCCATACTTCTATAACAGAAATTCAATCATTAGTAAGGTGGTCAGCTGTCTACATCAAATGGAATTTTCTACAGGTTGGATTATCGATCCACTCAAACAAATGCATTTATGTGTGAAACTCAACATAATCACGTTCAACAAGTCAGCCAAACCAGAACCACCCAAAGCTGCTTGTACAAACTCTCCATCCCCTTGTCTCAAATAATCTTCATAAAATACACAAAAAAAAAAAAATGCACACAAAAAATCCCACTGCAAACAAGAACCAATCATTGAATTCAGTAGCCACTGCACAAAAAAATGTCGTTACTACAGAACTACTTTAAGGCGAAGAATGTAATCCATCACTAACCTGGCAGAAATTCTCGGTTTCTTATTATTCAATGTCCCCAAGAGAGCTTCTTCTATTTTTCGGATCAATTCACTGGACAACTCCTTATTTTGGTCAATGTGATGTAATGCTTCCAACCACCAAGTAGTATGCTGATTTTCCCGATTCCTCAAAGTGTCGCGTACCTTCAAGAGTACGAGGGAGAAAAAGAAATCAGTAAGAAAAATCAACTAAACAGAAAGAGCACCAGAATATACAATTGCAGTAACAGATGATGAACTAAGAAAAAACTGGGAAAGGAAAGAAATATGCCCTCAATACTCAGCTATATGTTGGAGGCTCGGATAACAGATAATGCAAGAAAAACAATGATATTATAATTGACTAATATGGTACCTGTCTATTCCATCTATTATGATCAGATAGATATATTAGGAACACAAATTATCTCCACATATCCATAGGAAATCTTGTATTGCAGAACAAATACAACAAAAAGTGGACCATAATATCCTCGAGTGCAATGAAAAACGTTAACATGCATGTTATGGGAGATTATTCAATCAATTCAATTTAACATCAAATAGACATGACGTGAGAGGTCAAAAGCACCATACCTGCTCATACGATTTCCTGAACTCTTGCTGAGCTAGGGATAGCTTTGCAATAAAAACCGATAAGAATTTGTTCTTTAGATCTTCACAAACTGCTCTTAAACTTTGAACATTTTTTGATATGTAAGTCGCGATATCACTACCTTTTTCATTAGAACAGTATCTCAATAAACAAGAAGAGGGTGAATCTTCATTAATGTTCAGATTGGAATCATGTCTAATTATTTTATCCCTTGCTTTTGTACATTTAGCCTTCTCATCAATGTCACGTGCCCCAGAAAATATTTCTTTGGAGCTTCCTGGAACATGCTGAAACTGTTCTAAGCTGTTCATTGTGAGTGGGAGTATGTCAGCAAGATTATGATGAATGTGGATGTTCAACAGAGGGTCCAAGCGGAAATCTTCACTGTGCTCTTCTACTATAGACAGTGCCTCTTTATACAGTGATACTGCTTGAGGAAAATCATGTTTGATTATGGCTATACCAGCAAGACCATTCAATGCAACTACTAGTTTCCTGAGTGCATCCTCCCCTTCTACCCTGGTCTTGCCAACAAGAACCTGCAGAAAAGTAGATCCTGATTAACAGTAACAATCGTTTGAGCAATGCCCTTGACTGAATAAATTTTCATTTAAAACTAAACTCACCGACAGTATCTCCTCCATGGTCATGGGAGACTTCTGTAGAGAACGTAGGCCAGAACTTCCAACTTGAGGATGACAGCAGGCCTGGCGAAGCTTAAGGAGTGAATTAAAAAGCTTTGAGGCCTCCACATTACTGATGAAAGGATCAGATACAGAACCTGGGAAAGAATGCTGTAAGACATCAGATGATTTGAACCAGGAAAGAATGAAAATATCTGGGTAACTAAAGAACATACTTTGTACCTTAATTTGGTATGTATTTACAGCATAGCAACTAATTACCTGGTGCTTTTCTCTTCTCAATGTCATCCTTAAGACTTTCAATAACCTCTCGGGCATCATTGACACAAGTTTCGTGTTGCCGCTGGTAGAAGTGCTCTTCAATTGGTGAGAGAGAGAGAAAAGAGATGCATTCCTCCTGAGGAGGAAGCTGTAACTCATCCCTAACCTGCACTTTTGAGGAGCGCCACATAAGTTGTTTAAAGAAATCATGTGTGAAAAGCATAGCTCCTGCATCTCCCATCTACAAAAAAAGAGGAAAAAAAAAGAGCAAATTAAAAGGTTAACATTATTAGCAGCTAAATTCATATTAACGAAACATGCATAAGATCACAAATGAAACAAAAAATCAGAATCAACAGAAAAGCATTTAATAACAAGAAATGATATTTTCATCAAATTCCCGAACCCCCTAAGTTAGTCCAGTTGAAAATATGCAACTCAGATAATCCGATACCAAGAATCATCCAGCTAAATTAGTAACACAAAAAACCAAGACTAATCCAACTGAAGTTACAAAATTTAGAAACCTTCTAAATCCCTGAAGGATGGAGGCAGTTGATATCAAAAATTTAATGATAAAAATGAGTATCCACGTGCATAGTGAATGCACTAACTTGCTTATCACGTTCTCAAAAATGTTTAAACCACTCACAAATGAAAAGTTCAAACCACAAAGAGAACCGAGATAAAGTCCTAGCCAATCATTGCTTCAGTCTCTGTTCCAGTATGTAGAAAATTCAGTCAACCTGAGAAGAAAAACAGACAGCAAATGTACCTCGTACGGTTCACAAATAACATCAGTCCACCACCTGACGACATCAAAAGGACTTGCTTGAAGAAATCTCAAAAGTCCATATAGATCATCAAGTTTTCGCTGTATGGGTGTCCCTGTGATACACCAACGATGTTTTGCATGGAGCCGTAGTGCCAATTCGGTTGCTGCAGCAGCATTACTCTCCACCATTTGTGCTTCATCCAAGCATATTCTCCACCACAGTATCCTAGTGAGTAAAGTTGGAACAACAGGGTATCTGCAACATGAACCCAGTCTAACTAAAGAATCTCCATATGGAAGTATTTGATCAAGAGGACACAGAGTGCCTAGCTAGGATAACATGAAAAGGACATAAGAACTCTTCAAAAGATCATGAAGGTCAAGAGCTAGATAACATCCTCATTATGTAGCAAACTTTCTGACAGGAGTTCCAACCAGCTATGGAGATGATTGTTTTACCAAAAATTGTAACAGACAATTGAGGGCACGATAAATTCAAGCAGTATTCTGTTTACTGAAAAAATAGTCCTCCAATATTTAAGTGCATAGTTAATATTTAATGGAACATGCATTATTAATTTAAATAGATCATGATATGAATGTAGTCAATATATCTCAATGAAAGTCATCATCAATGGCAAATACCAAAAACAAACGAATAGGGTGAATCCTAGAAAAAACTCATGCAACCAATAAAAGTTCAATAAATTGTGTATTTATTGTGTTTGGCAGTTTGGGAAGGAATAAGTGAAGATAACAATGACCAAAGACATCAAGGAAACAGATCATATCATTTTGATCAGGAAAATATTGAGTTAGTAGTCATATTTAGAAGGGTGCATATTTCATGTTTCCAGAAACTATTAGAAAAGGCTAGGGAAATAGATAATACTGGTTATGAATTATTCAAGAGGTGTATAGGTAGACAAAAAAAAAAAAAAAACAGAATTAAAAAAAAAAAAAAAAACAGAAAGGGGACACTGAAGCAAGATGCCAACTGAATTTAAAAAAAAAAAAATAGGGATCACGTTTTACTCTAAACACCATTGGCTACTAGATTTCTGAAGAGACAATCTGGAAAGTCTTTGAAGGCGAGTAATTTTCTGTATTTCTTGTATATTCATCAACCGTATACAACCTCTGGATTTATAATAGGATAAGGGAGAAAGGAAAAAAAAACTCCTAAATTAGGAGAGGTGGAAATCACCGTAATTACAGTCTAACTAATTATGGGAAACTCTAAACATGGTACAAGAATAAATTAAATACAATCTTTAGGATTTCTAGACTCTCCCTTAAGTTGGATGGTAAATGTTAACTATATCCAACTTGCAAATGAAATCTTCAAAACTTTGTCGAGGTAGTCTTTTGGTAAACATGTTTACAATTTGTTCTTTTGTAGGGACATAGATCATAAAAATAACTCCGTCTTCAACATCTTCTTTAATGAAGTGTATGTCTACTTCACCGTGTTTAGTTCGATCATGTTGAACCAGATTAAGAAAAATATTGATGGCTGCTTTGTATCGCAGTAGAGCTTGATTGGAAGTTTGACCGTGACTTGTAATTCTTCCAACATTTTCTTTTGCCTTAGTCCTTCACATATTCCTTGGACAACTGCTTTAAACTCCGCTTCAACATTACTTCTTGCCACTACATTCTATTTTTTACTTCTCCAAACTACCAAGTCTTCCCCTACAAAAGTAGGGTAACCAATAGTTGATATTCTATCATCTTTTGAGCCTGCCCAATCTACATCTGTAAATACTTCTACTTTCTTGTTCTCACTCTTTTTGAAGAATAACTCTTTCCACATCATCCTTTGAGATATTTGAGAATTTTGTATACTGCTTTCATATGAATTTTCTTTGGTGAATGCATATGTTGACTTACCATGCTTATGGCAAAAGCAATGTCAGGTCTAGTATGTGATAGGTAGATCAATTTTCCAACTAGTCGTTGATATAAATCCTTTCCAACTGGATTTTCACTCTCTTCTATTCTCCTTCCTCTATTAATAGGGGTGTCACATGGCCTACATCCAAGCATGCATATTTCGATCTAGAGGTCCTGAAATACACAGTAACATTGTCTACTCACATCAGCCTCGTCAAAGCAGTAAAGCCTCTCACATTCGCAATCGTTATCCCCGATGATAGGTCATGAACTAGACATTGAAATTGAGAAAATTTAGCGGAGCAATTAGACTCTTTAGTTAATTGACTGATAGATAGTAGATTACAAGACAAGTATAGGACATGAAGGACGGATTTTAGAGTTATAAACTCAGAGATACGAATACTCCATTTTCCAACAAATGGTATTGATTAGTCTGCGATCTTAATTTTGATATTACCAACACAAGTTGAGTATGAAGAAAATAGATGGTAAGAATCCGTCATGTAATCGAAAGCACCTGAGTCAATAATCTAGGGAATTTTATATATTGAGGAGATATTTAAGGCCTTCAGAAAACTACATTTGTAGACTAATGAGCTTGAAGGACCCGTGTGTAGAAGATTGACTCGAAGTTTGAAAGTTGGAAAAAATCTGATAAAGTTGGTCTAATTATTAAATGCTTCACTTTTCGTTTCTTCGGAGTTCCCTATTTGGTCGACTGAAACTTGATAGCCACGATTTTTAACATTGTCTCGGTTTCCAATTTGTAGGCTTCCCATGTATATCCCAACAATAATTTTCTTTGTGTCTCGGTTTACAACATTATTCGTGCCAATGTAGTCCCTTTGTTGTTTTTAGCCTAACCTATGTATTGCTCCTTTTGATAAATTTGTCATTCCAAGCCCAAAACTATTCATTTTCGGCTCAAATTCACTTCTTGTCATAGAAGATGATTTTAGCCCATACAGTGATGGCCCATTTTCATACCCAGAAGACCCAAATCCTATCAACGAAAGAGTTAACATCTCAATATCTTCATCATGACTCCTCGGTTCTCCTCTCTTCTCACCTCGGTGAAAACTTCGCATGTTGAGGGCAGTGGACGTCAACCCAGAATTCTCCCTCACATTGTCTAGTTCGCGATTTGAGGCTGATGAGGAACTTATAAATCCGTTCATTTTCAAGTGTTTTCCTTGTACTTAACACTGTCTTTGGGGCATTCCCACGCTTCTTCGCCACTAAGATCGAGCTCTAGCCAGATAGGTCATTTCCAAGTAATAATCGATAACATCCCTCTACCCCTGCTTGGTTTGCCATTCGTGTTTTGATTTCAAAGATTTGGAATGAATTTTCTAAGTCCGAATACATTTCCTCGACAGCTTTCCAAATGTCTTTTGTGGTCGGCAAGAAGATGTACGTTTTTCCTATTGACGGCTTCATCGAATTCACTAGCCATACCATGACCATTAAGTTCTCAGATTTCTATTTTTGCAAGAGAAAGACATCAGCTGGTGATGCAACAAGGAAACAACTAAAAGTCTATTCAAGGCAAAAGACTAATAATTATTAAAATTCGAGTTTGTCTAGATTATAGTAAATTGATTTTGACAATGTTATCTTTTATTTTCAAGTTTGTTTAGATAGGAAGTTTATTTAATTTCAAAGTCATTCTCTATATAAAGGGACTTAGGGTAATGTTTACAGACACGCCTAAATTATATGAATAAAATTATTCCTCTTGCCCTCAATTCTTCCCTTTGATCCCCTTTCTTCTTATTGTTCTTTATCAATGTGTATGCTCTTGCATCAATTCAGTATCAGAGCAATTTGTTTTCGTTTGACCTAATATCATTCGTCCTCAAATTCAAAGATCCACCAATAGCTTCCATCAAATCCACATACAGCTCCTCTTTCCACCACCGATCCAAAGCCAATAACCACCTCATATCAGTGTTATAAAAAGCATAAAACGTGAAGGCAAATCCTCAAGCTTTACGAGATGAAGCGAGTCTAGAAGAGGCTTAGGCGTAAAAAATGTTTTCTTATTTTTTAATATTATTTAAAAAAATTAATCATTTTAAAAATCATTTAATAAATAAAAGCATACATATCAATCATCTCAAATTATAAAATATTATATTTACTTAATAATTCATACAATTAGTCAATTATACAATTTTGAAGTTTTTGAAATGCAAAAATTAGAATATTTTTCATAATTTCAATTTTCAACTCGACAAGTTCTACTTGATAGATTTATAGGAATTTCATGCAAGCTTTTGGAGTTTGCAACAAAAAAGAGTCTCAAGATCATAGTACCATAGCTTAAATCTTATTTTAACTATTAGATAAAGTCATTTTGAATATTTGTACAGATAAAATCTTTTAAAAACCTGAAGTTAAAGTCAAATGAAAAGTTTTTTTAATAATAAAAAAATTAATAAACTAAAGACAAATAAAAGACTTTTTTAAAAAAATAAAAAAACTAATAAAGCACGCCTAGGGAAGACAAAAGAGAGGAAGGAAATAATTCAGCCGTTTAGGAATTGGAAAAAAAGCACCTAAGCTCGAAACGAGGCGTTTTGCCCGAGCTTTGAGCCTAGGTGAACTTTTCAGAACACTGCCTCATTTACAACCACCTTTGAACAACACAAAACGTAAGAAAAAATTTTCTAAGCCTCAACAGTCCTTTTCTTTCTTTAGTATTTATTCTTAGTAAAAAAAAAAAAAAAAAAAATTGCAGCAATTAGATCATTTTATATAGATGCTGTTTTTAGTCAATACAACCCATTACCCATATTAACCACATCTCATATATAATCCCATATAACCCTAGCCATCAAGCCCACACCCACTTCGTCCAAACCATAACCAACCCACTAACGAAATATTATCACCTACATACCCAAATTCCAAAATCCACATACACGGCCCATCACTAACATCCCACTTCTTCACCAAATTCCATAAACCAAAATATAATTCTAGCCCAAAGCTGTAATTCAACAACAAGACTTAATAACCCATTTACACAACACTCCAGCCCATTACACCCCTGAATATGGGTTGCCCCCACCTCTTCAAACTCCTCACAGACCAACTCAGACTATCGCCGACGAGTCACATCAGTTCCTGCCGCCAGCCAACTACCCAGCATTACCACCCAAATAAACTTCATCATCCAACACTCGCTTCAAAAGTAAGATTATCATCACCACTTAGTCAACGTTCTCACCTTCCAAAGCCCTAAACGGCCTCTTGCCACTTAGTTGACACACACCACCACATGAATCGCCTACAGCCTACAAAAACCATCCCTACTCCTTCCGCTGCTGCAATCACCATCATCGACAATAG